GATATCATGTGTTTGTGATGAATATGTTATCCAAAAAGTGTGTAAAAACTGAGATCTAAAACATGAGGAAGGAAATAAACATAACTTAAACTATTTTACACTAATCAAGTCAAGAAAAATAGTTTATATGGTTAGGATGAACATACTTGAACATAAAACCCATTTTTGGGCATAAAATGTCAAAAATACAAAACTTAGGTGCCAAACTGACAAATTATAATTTCTGGAGGGTCAAAAGGGTCCAAACAGTTTCTATAATAATTTTCTGAACATCAACATTGTTGAGGGGCTTAAAATGTAAATTTTGAATTTAATGGGCTAAATTTGGGCTTTTCGGCCCAATAAGCTTCAAAATGCGAGATTTCTAAATTTGAGGGGCTGAAAATGCAACTTTCTGTAAACAGGGGATTTGAAGTGTTATAAAATTATTCCAATGGTCAAAAATGCTTTTCAAATTCAAAAGGGATCAAAAATGTAAAAATTTTCTATTTTGGGCCAAAACTATCAAAGTTGCGAAATTAAGGGTTTTAACCGAGAAAACATCATTCTGGAAGGACTAAAGTTGTTTACAAAATAAATTTGGGCTAAAAATGTCTTTTCAACAAGTTTATGATACAAAAGTGTCAAAATAATGTTTCAAGGACTAAAATGAAATTCTTTTATATAAAGGACTAAAAGTGCTATTTTTATGAAAGAAAGGTTGTGAAAAGGTAAAAATCTTACTTTTAAACAAATTAATTCATTAAGACAAAATACAGAACCACGACTACCGACGAAACATAAAAACAAATACACTCTCAACAACCAATAGCGTTACAAAACGAATTGATCCGGTCTCGAATCAATAACAAAACAAAAAAATCAATAAACCATAGTATTTCAATAAACACGCGATAACTATGAGGAGTCAACATTCAAACTTTGGGCTTGAAAGTTTCAAATCGTGCTTGTTGGGCCTTGCTAGCCCAATAACATGATCTTTGGGCCCGAAGGGAACGCGCTTACATGTTAATGGGCCTTCTATGACCCAATTTCATGTAAAAGGACTGTCAATAGCTCTATTGTGCTATTGGGTCCTAATGGTCCATTAGTACTGCTAGTGAGGTTGAGAAGTCAAATACGATTCAGGCCAAGTGCCTTTCGCATTCCCGGTAGCCTTGAATAACTTATGGAAATAAAGGGGGCTTCGTACCCTCCTTTCTCCTCGGTTGACCGGCTGATGAGAATTCGAGTAATCAGATTAGTGGCGTTAATCAGGAGAAGTCAGGGTGGTTGGATCGTGTGAGTAGTACGGACGACGCCTTAGGGATTGTTCGTAACCTGTAGTTATAAACTAGTCATTTTCATTAATGCGTGATTGTAACAACTCACAAACCCTAGTTAATCCGATGTCACCTGGGTGGGGTAATCAAAAACATTTGTCGTATCGATATAACAATGAACAAGTCATGTAATTTGCGTATTGGGAAAACATCGGGTTTTCCCGGAAAGTTCAACATTTTCACCTGTGTGATGTATACAAAGATCAACAATTATACATGTTTTCAAAATCGACAAGCATATTTACGGATCTTCACAATTTTTTTTTCATATAAACAAATACTCTTTTCAGAAAATATCGGATTTTCTGGGTGTTTCAAACTTCACAAAAATCATTTTTCCATAACATTACTTATGAACTCACCAACATTTCATATGTTGATGTTTTTCAAAATAACTTGTATCCTCAGGTAACAGGTAAGCCGAAGAATAAGTACCATGTCATGTCATGGTGTTTTGCTTAAATTATCTATTTGACAATCTATGTTATGGAATTGTAACGTTTAAAACAATGTACTGAATGTAAACAATATCAGTTGTAATATTCCAATGCATGGTGATGATTTGTGTTATGATTCATGTATATTCATTGTGATGGTATTCAATTTGAGTCACAAGAGCCCTCGAACGTTTTCGCGGTTCGGTTCGGGGGTGTGACAAAGACCTCCAAGATGACAACTTTCTGACTGAGGGACTCAAATTGCACCAAGGGTGGCAATCCTAAGCCTAGGAATCGTTCCTGAGCAATAAAGCTTCATCCTTGGGACTAAAAAGGTCCAGAAACTCAACACAAGAGATCTAAGCACTTAGAGATCAAGTTCAAGGCTTTATACCTTAAAAAGGTTTGAAATGAAACAACAATCCCAGATATACACCTTCTCCTTTGCACCACCATCTTGATTTGACCTTTACTTCATTGGAGAATGGAACAAAACACCAAAAATGCTCTCAAGAGGCCTTCTAAGAACAAGAACACACAAAATATGGATTAGGATTTCGTGGGAGCTGCCTAAGGGTGAGAGGGAGGCTGGACTTTAGGGCATAATGTTCTTTATATAGGGATCAACCCTAAATTTTAGGGTTTTAGGGACTGCATGCGTACGCTCCGTGTACCCTTTGGTACGCAGCACGTATGCGTATGGAATCCACGACCATATCTCGTGAGTAAGTTGCGCGTACTTAGAGTGGTACGCCCTACGTACGTCACTCTTGAACTAAATCATAAGGACCAAATGGGTCCAAGCCCAAATCAACCCAACAATTAAATAAATAATACCTTGGTGAATATCGAGCGTTACACACACAAACACACACACACACACAGAGAAAGAGGGAGAGGGTTGGGTGAGATTTTATTTTTTATTTTTAATTATTTAAATACCAAAATAAATAAAGAAAATAGAAAAAGAAATGAAAAGGGTAAAATCGACTTTTTCAAGTGTATCATGGATCAAAAACACAGAAAAACCTTGATTTTGGACCTTCCATGCAAGTTGGAAACCTTTTGGATCATATCCAAAGTTTTTTGAATACTACATGGACTAATCTTGCAGTTTTGTCTAATAGATTCAACAATCGTTGTCTTAGGGGTCGTTTGTTTCGTTTGATTCCTAAGGAATTGAAAGGAATTGGAAACTAAAATCCAATACAAAACGTGTTTGGCTAACAGAAGGAATGGAATATGATTTCCATAATTACTTTTTAATTCCGTGTATGAAAGATTTTCCATTCATTCCCTGTCTATAAGGAATCCACATTCTGTTAGCTTTTTTTTATTTTATTTTATTTTATTTTTTTTAATTTTTATTTACACAGTTATCCTCCCATATACATGCGGTTCTAGTAAAACAAAATAAAGTATGTGATTTTTCATATATTTTCTATGATTACCTTCTTCTATCGATTATATTTTTCTCCAATCGATATTTGTAAAAAAAATCATCTATCAATCATATCTTTTCTACAATTACTGCCGTATTTCATCTCTGACTCATCATTCTTCTACTGCTTTGGTGTATCTATCATCTTCGTTTATATGTAAACATCTCATGTTCAATTTTTTTGCAATTAATTGTGTTCAACCATTTTTTTTTATAGATATTTGTAATATGTGATTCATCTTTGTCTGATAGAAAATAGCATAATTTTTTAACATTTGTACTGCTTACTACATCTCTAGTTTCTTTGTGTGAAGTATGAACAATTTTCTTTACATGTTATGTACGTTTATTGTCGTCGTATTATAAAATTTATTTTCTAATTCCTTTGTAAAATCAGCAAACTAAACAGAAAACAGATTTCATTCCTTGTCCTTCAAACGCATTTAAGCTTCTAGTATATTCAGATTCCAATTCCTTCAAATTCCAATTCTTTTGACAGATTCCATTCTTTCAAAAAATATTCTGTGAAACAAACGCCACCTTAGGGTTGACTATTCGAAGTAAGAGCACCCATAATAGTGAGTTCAATAGGAGAGTTGAATGAGATGACAAGTCTATGTGTCATTCAATGGATGAAACTCTACCATTGTAAGATGCCACCTTGACATTCAATGGATTTGGAGTTCAATGACCATTGAACTCTTCAATGGGAAAAAGAAAAGTTTTTAATTCTTAATTATTTACTATAAATTACATTTTATAACACTCTATTGAACTTTATAGAGTTCAATGCATTGTGAGAAAAAAATGATAGAGTTGTATGAATTATAGAAAGATGATGTGACAATCCATTAAACTCTATGGAGTTCAATACATTATGGATGCCATAAGTCTACCTAAACTATCAATCTCTTGATACTAGTACCTCTCGGAACATACAAATGAATCCACCCAAAAATCAAATTCCAAGTTTTAGTTTCATGCACCGCAAGGGACAAATAACAAAGAACACATCAATGTCATTAGAAACCAAATTCGGTCTAATAGGTAGTGGATTCAACAACAATCGACAAGCAAAAATATTCACCTTCCTAAGCACAAAAGAACACATCTAGTAATCTTATTTCCCACATAAAGCAAGAAGTCATCAATGTGTTTTTAGTAATGTTTACTGTCACTTTGGGCTCGTTTGTTTTTTGGCAAAAAGATTTTTTGGGCACTTACATCTGCAGACGGGTAGATGTTTACCAAAAAACTGTTTGTTTTCTGGAAGACAAAAGAACTCAAAAAGACTTCTTTATCACTTCTTGTATGAAGGCATAGAAAAATACTTTTGGTCCACATCTTCTGCCGCAAATACAGAAAAAGACTAAAGATATTTTATTACTTCCAAAACAAACACCACCTTTATCTTTATCACACAAGTCCCAAACCCAACGATCGATTTGCGAAGTCACATGAACATCAACTAAAAAGCTCTCATCTAATCAAATTGACGAGATTCAACACCACCTATCACCTACTGACGCCAATTCTCAACCCAAAAATTCTCACCCATTAATTATTTATATAACAATTCTCATCTAAATTCCATTTATCACAACATACTTTTTGTCACTATCGTCTCCACCCTAGAAATGTTTGATCTAAGCGACTTTAAAGTGTCTTTAACTTGAACTCACATCAATACAATAACATAAAATAAATTCCAAAGTTTGAAATGAGCGATTCTAAAATGTGTTTAACTTAAACTAAACTATAATTATATATTTTCTTTCAAATATCTTCGCTCCCGAAAAATTTCTACAATGTGATCTAATAACATTGTTAAAATCAAATTGAGTTGCAAACACTTCCAATAATACCACTTACCTATAAAGGTGGATATCATCGTGAAGACTATGATTCTTTTGGTTCATTTCACACTTCATTTCCCAAATTTTCCCTAGAGGATACGTATTTTGATTGAGGTATAAACATACCACCGACGATGCCCGATTATATGAAAATATGAAGCTACTATTTAGAGCTATGAAAAAGTCAAGTAGAGGAACGCCAAAAATACAAGAAAATTGTTGCATGCAAAGACAACAAAGTAATTGTTATAAAACAATACTATTATTGCCAGACCAAATGCCTTTTGGTTGCTGTATAATTGCATCATTCATGAATTTATTGTTCATTTGTCTTAGATTTGTTTTTTTCTTTGACATAACTTTTTGTTTGGAATGTCATCGCTAGTGTTTTGCAATACTCGTAGCATTTAATTTAGTAACTTATTTAACAATGAAAATAATTCATTGTCCAAATTACCTTAAATATTATCACCACCTGTTAATTGTTAAATACCAGTTAATTAACTTTTTTCTTAAAAAAAGTTGATTTGAAAATACGTTTCTAAAATAAAAATCATGTTTTGCGTGTGGACGATGGGAAATTGGTAAAATAGTTGGTGCGTCCCACTAAAATGGATATTGATAATGCTTAACTTTGGTCGCTATAAATATTCCATAACGACATTAGCTATCTCTCCTTCGCACAAGAACAGGATGGGCCCAAGTCTTTTGGACGCACTCAATGTCAGAGTAGTCGGCTCCGGCAAGAAATTCATGGTTCTCGCACACGGATTGGGCACCGATCAGTCTGTGTGGAGTCGCATTCTCCCTTACTTCCGTACTCACTACAGAGTCATCCTCTACGACCTTGCTTTCGCCGGCAGCGTCAACCCTGATTACTTCGATTTCAATCGCTACAACTCTCTAGACGCTTATGTCGACGACCTTCTTCAAATCCTTGACTCTCTCGGCGTCGATCGGTGCTTTTACGTCGGTCATTCACTTTCGTCGATGATCGGAATCCTTGCGGCTATTCGTCGACCTGAGCTCTTCTCCAAGCTCATCCTCATCGGCGCTTCTCCAAGGTATCCTCGAATTATGTTTAAATCTGTTACGGATATGGAGATCTGTGGAATTCATGTTAATGTTGCTCGACTATCAGTAAAATTTCGCTAGTCAGATCAAAATGATAATAGAAAACGAATTTGTTCGGTTTGAATTTTGGAAATAATTGTTTCCGACAAATAGAACAAATTCTTCCAATGAACTGCTGGAAATTCCTAGGCTATATTAAATTATCAACTGCTTTGATTCATTGGCATCTCATTTGCTTTTAATTTCGAACATACACGTTGATTATTACTGGAGGATGAACTGATCTTTGACCTAACTTCAGGTTCTTAAACGATAAAGATTACCACGGCGGATTCGAAGCAGGCGAGGTGGAGAAGGTTTTCCTAGCAATGGAGTCGAACTACGAGGCATGGGTGAACGGATTCGCTCCGTTAGCAGTCGGCGCCGATGTACCGGCAGCTGTACGCGAATTCAGCCGGACGTTGTTCAACATGAGGCCGGACATTTCACTCTTTGTTTCTCGGACGGTGTTCAACAGCGATTTAAGAGGAATACTTGGCCTAGTGAGGGTGCCGTGTTGCATAATTCAAACGGCAAAAGACGTATCTGTACCGACTTCGGTGGCGACGTACTTAAAGGAACACCTTGGAGGGCGGAACACGGTGGAGATGATGAACGTGGAAGGCCATTTGCCTCATCTGAGCGCTCCGGCCTTGTTGGCCCATCATCTGAATAGAGCACTTTCTAGATGATAATTTTTTTTTATCGATGTTCTTTGTGGGCCTTCATGGGCCTAACTGAATGACTATCTATAGTTTTATCCACTTTTTAAGTTTAAGAATATTGGGAGAATATGGCTACAGATGGTGACACCTGGCGAATAATTTGTGGACAATGGGGAAAAGGATAAGAAAGGATCTTCACTGCTGACGTGTCCATCTAATTTTTATTTTGTTTTTCCTTTTCTCATGTGTCCGTACGAAAATCCAATATTTGAATTTACGTTCAAATTTATAAATAGTTTCTTTCGGTTTTATGTAGTTTATTATAATTTTGTTCGGGATAAAAATATATTATTTGAGGAAATTCTTAAATGAGAAAAATTTACCATTTTATAATTTAATAATAAATACCAACAAACAACCAATAAATTTAAAAAATTCATAGTAAATCATATACCAACTTAAAAATTGACAACAAATCAAATTGTTCCACATTGTCAAAAATCGTACACAAAGAACAAATATCCAAACTACAACAGATATCTGTTAAATTCAATACACCAAGACTACATGAGACATGACTTTACTCTTTGTGTTTTCATTCCAAAATGTGTTTCCAGGTTCCACCATTTTTTTGGAACATCGTTATATTAGGAATACAAAACAACGACTCAAACAAGAAGCTCGAATAAAATTACATGAAATAGTTTAAAACCGGGAAAGAGCTCCAAACGGCTCATTCAATGGAGCTACATATTTAGATCGACATTTAATCCAACTAAAATAGTAATACTAATATCATTTGCAGTTAACATAATCGTCCATATTTTGTTCCTAAAGAGAATAGTATTGTGTGCCTTCGAGATCATCCAAAGAGTAGTATAGACAATTAAGCCTCAATTTTTGCAATCTTCTACTTCCGTTGAGTAAATCTAATAATTTATCACAAGAAGAGGGTTGCACCTCTAAGCAAGAAGACAAATCCACCACCCTTCTCCATATATAGAGGAACAAGACCTTTCAAGCAGGGCCGGTTCAACCAGTTTAGGGATTCTAAGCGAACCAAAAATTTGGGGCCTTTAATTAAAAAAAAATGAAAAATTACTTATAATACAAACTAAAATTCAAGGTTCATTGAATCACTGTTTATGGCCATTGTTATTGATCTTGGGTGTTCTGCATAAACTTTGCTTACTAGTTTAAAGTCTTGCAAATTTTGGCTAACTTTTGGTAATTTGGTGTATATAATTTTTATCAATCTAATATAAATTCTAAAGTAACCTAATCCAATATGCAAATTCAATGAAATTTGAAAACAATTTCATGGCATTTGACTACAAGACTACAAGTCTACAAGTCTACACTCTACAATACATTCATATGACATGGAAACAAGTTAACAAGATTAGAAGAAGAACAGATGGATCATGGAACTTGGAATAAGTGATATATTACCGTTTATGGAGATTGGAGAATAGAGAAGGCTTCAATGGAGAAGGAAGAAGCCGAAGAACAGATGGAACTTTCAACATGGAAGCCTTGTGCAGTTGTGCCGTGAATTAGAACTCAGAAGAAGAAGAAGATCAAGCGGAACAGGCGATGAGAAACCGTATGCAATGGAAGAAGAAGCATCATTTTTTAGCCGTTTAGCGCCTAGCCGGATTAGAGATATATTACATGGACTCCTTGGTTCGTGGAGCCCTCTAGATGGGGGGCCCTAAGCCCTAACTTTGATTTAATATGCATAAGGCCGGCTTGCTTTCAAGTTTCATATATATATATATATATATATATATATATATATATATATATATATATATATATATATATATATATATATATATATATATATATATATATATACAACAAGAGATTTTATATATTAAAAAGCCAACAAAGCACTTGCAAATACAAATACAAAAAAATGAGAATTTTTTCCTAACCGTAACTCCCCACATGTCAATTAAAAAAAACATGTTGACAAACAATAGCTAGATCCAAATCCAAAACACAATGACAATGAACAATTTAATATTGCTAAGAGATATCAACTGAAGCCCATTTGAAAGAAAATATGAAACAATTTAATCTTGCAAAGAGACATCAACTCAAGCCCATTTGAAAGAAAATATGAAAGTCTTTATGAACAATACCATCATATGAATATCATCTTTATATATAAGCAAACAATAACATCAAACTTTGCCTTTTATCTTAAAAAAGACATTCTGTTTTGACATTTTTTCAGCCATAAAAAACAATAGTAGACCTAAATAAATCAAACCTATGAGCCCTTATCAATCATCATTTTTTTTTTTTTTTTTTTTTTTTTTTTCATGAATGAATTTGCAAGATTTTCCATATTTGCAACCACCAGCTAATAAATAAAGCTGTAGAAACATCAATTATCAAGTTTATTAATATTAACTACACCCAAACGTGATGAAAAATCCCAAGTCGCTGTAGGAGAAGTTGAACAGATAAAAGTTACGTAAAGGGTTTCAAACTTGAGCCGTCTGATTCAAACTCCACATTGCCTTAACGATCTTAGGTACAACAAACCATCCTAGATACTATAGTTTACATTTATTTTTTCTGCATTTTTTCTAATTTATATCGTTAAAACAATACATATATATATATATATATATATATATATATATATATATATATATATATATATAGACACACACACAAACTTACCGTCTAGGATCCTGAGATTTGGTAAGGCCCGTGGAGGTTGCCTAGCTTACCCTCCCTGGTCGTGACCGACCTTGCATATGAGTAGTAAAGCAAAAGAGGAACATGAGAATAAGACATAATCCCTACATTTATCATAGAAGGGACATAGGGAGGAGAAAATCTAAACTCGACACTTGATCAAATTCAATGAAGTGGGAATTATGTTTATAAACAATCATAAAAACAAAACAGTTGACCTTTAAGAGCATCCATTTCACCCATTCAAATGACTTCAAACAATCTTCATTAACGTTTTTAAACATCAGATCACAAAGAGATTTAACGGAAAAAAAAATCATTGCTTCCATCACCCTTCCACCACTACATGTCACGCCTACTGAAAATCATCCAAGTAAGCTAAATCGTAGAAGTGTCTAGACTTACACCTTTTAAGATGTCTTGACCAATCCTAACAATAAAGAAAGACTTTTCCATACTTGGTAACAATCATCTTCTTCACTAAACAATCATTCTTCTTATCTCGCATAAAGGTTGGGATAAATCTCTTTAAGAGTCGGTAACCAAACCAACAATCTTTCCAAAAGAAAGTTTTATCACCTTTACCTAAAACCTTCTTTAATAAGCTACTTAACCGTTTTGTTTAAACTCAATGTCAATTTGAGAAATAGTGGACCAACCATCATTTTTCATTCAAAAATATCACAAATCTTATGTTAAAATGAGCTCGTAACAACAACAATACAAACAAGACATGTGTTCATGGAAATTGAAACGTTAAAAATTCAAAACAAGTAGTTATTTCAATTGTAATTCAAAATTCAAAACAATAAGAGTGATTAAATAAATCAATTAAAAAATTCACTACCTTCTAAGAAAAGCATAAATTACGAGCTTAAAAATTGAAAAATATTCAAAGACTATTTTTCTTAAATAGTTAAAAGGGATTTAACATTTTAAATGTAAAACCAAAATCATGTGAAATTAATTAAAAATATCTAAATTATTTTGATAACAATCGATAATTTTCCAAATAAATAAAAATAATAATAGTTAAAAATAACATAAATAATAAATCAAGCTATATTAGATTAAAAAATGATTGATATTTTAAATAATTATAATGATTAAAATTAAAAGAAAAAGTAAAATGAGTAATTTGTAAGCTAAATAATCATAATTTTAAAAGTAAGAGTAAATGGATGTTTGAGATTGTTTATTTAAAATTTTTATTTGACAAAAAGTGTTATTTGGGAGCTTTTAAATTTAATCTTTTGATAAAATGTTCGATTTAAACAAAAAAACATTGTTTGAGAGTATAAGTTTATAACTTTTAGTTTAAAAAAACACAAATATAAAAACCATTCGAAAAAACTTTTGAGCTTTTAGGATCAATTTCCATAAATGTACTTAAAAATATGTTTATATATTTATCTTTTTTTATTAAAGAAATTGTCTTAATTTTAGTATTTTACACATCAAAAGCTTTCAGATACTTTTATCAAACACTTATATAAAAAATTAAATTTATAGCTTTTGGCTACCAGCCAAGAGTGTAACGTCCCGAAAATTATAAAGAGAATTTTCAATTTCAAAATAGCTTAACCAATTAAACATTTGTTTCAAAAACCATTGAATAAAATTTGATTGATTAAAAATCATACACCATCAGACTTAAGTTTACAAAACTGCGGAAACAAATATTATCGATACGTGTGTATAGTCTTGCCAAGCTCTTTCCATGAACAACCTGCAAAATGTTTAATCCACAATTGTAAGCATAGAACTTAGTAAGTTCCCAAGTATACCACATATTCCATCATACATACAATGCATCCACATAAAGTCCTCGATTCTAACATCGAGCAACCAAAACTCCTATCCATAAGCATATATCATACATAACGGGCCCAACCCAAGAGTTCATGGCCCCCATCCAACTCACACAACGAGCCCCACCCAACCATACATAACAAGCCCCGCACACCCAACCATAAGTGACAAGCCCTGTCCAACCATACATGATGGACCCCGCCCAACCATAAATAATGGGTCCCACCCAACCATACATAACATGCCCCATCCAACCATAAGTAACGGGCCCTGCCCAAGAAGTAAATGGGCCTAACCCAACCTCAACTGCCAGGAGTCATATCCTGGTATTCCTGCAAATGTTAGAGGTCATACCCTAGTCTTTCATATAATACATAAAGTTATATATAGTCGGGAATCTGATAGAAATTCGAACATATGATCCACCCAAGAGCGAACAATCAGATAAGAACCTTGCAATAAGGCATTAGACCAAGATTCTCAGCCTATCCAACTTAAACTACATAGAACCAAAACTATCACTACCACATAATCAAGTAACATAAACACATAATAGATACCAACAAATCCATATCCTTAGTAACTAGCCTTACCTAGTTACCATACCATTGACCACTTCTCAATTAAGTCCTTCACTAGTTAGCCATACATAATACTGATAACTAGCTACCCTACTTACAAGCATAACTTCTAACAGTACCATATGACCACATGCAAAATACTACCAGTTTAGCATACCAAGGCACCAAGTATCCTACACTGCATGAGCATATTAATGAGTTATCCTAGCCAACTAGCATACTTGTATTCTAATAGTACCTCTACCCTACCATGAAAATGATATACAATGGGATACATGACATAGTGCGTGAAAC